AATTTGATCGGCAATCTTCATATATGAGAAAAGTGTCCTGCTAGGGGGCTCTCATGAGCTACAGAGAGTATGATGTTATGAGAATCAGCAGGAACAACCAGGAAAAACTGACCTTCTTTGGCTGGTCGCCTGGATGACACACAAGACCTATGTAACAGACCATCAATACAAACAAACTTGTAAACAGACCCATCTCTAACCTGATACTCCTCCCCGGAAGTCACCTTCTCCCTCACCAGCATCAGAGTGGTACACGAGGCTTAAAGCTTGGCAAACTCCTTGGGCGTTACAGTCAGTGGCTGCAATTTCGGCAGAACCAAGGGATGCAGTCGTTTCACCTTCGCCGACCGTGTCTCCAAGGCTTGGACCTTTGCTGGAGGTGAGGTGGCGTGTGAGGGTGGCGAGGCGACGTCAGCAGGTAGCAAAGCGTCGTTGAAACAAGAAACACAACAAAATGAATTGTAGAAAAATTGCGAGTCTACCCTCAAATCAACTCCGTGCTTTGTTATTACAGTTGAGTTGGTAAGATGCCATACAGTGCCAGCTGGGTTGATCAAACTTACAGAATTTCTTTCGTACCCATCTAGCCAACCCAACATGAAGGATGTCAATAATTGTGGTGTAATACTGTATACAGTACATTTTAACAATATGTATGCAGGATGGTGTGTGCATGTAAATGAGTAAAAATAAATGAAAAAGGTTTGGCCCAGTAGCTTGGTGGTTACAATGATGAGCTAACCTAGCTACAATGACAATTTAATCACTGTTAAACACGATTCTATCAGTAAACACTCTTAATAACAGTAAATCCAGTAAATATGGCAGGGAGCAAGGAGAATTAAAACTGCAGAGAACGCACCAACTACCAGTCACTCACTCCCCTTACCAGCACCCAGGCGTACAGTACGTATGGGAGATGCCAGGAGATGCCAGGAGTACGTATGAGAGAAGAACATATTTTGTAGTCGACTATGAAAATGGTTCGGGCTCAGTCATAAACAAATTATATAAACAATTCATTTTCCGACGATAACATAATAAAGAACAAACGTTATAAAGAAAGCAGTCCGGATTTTTGGATTTCTACTGTAGATTATCACTCACCATTCCCTGCTGGCTGTTTGTGTAGATCTCATTTTCCTCTTCCCTGCCACTGATGAATATCATAGTGAAAATGATGAATGATGACTAATGATGTTGAAGGTGGTTGAGGGCGTTTGGGAGCCATAACAAGCACGAGAATACAGTTGTTATGAGAGGAGAGTAGCATATGTGCGAGACATACAAATGTTTAGCCCAGACTGAGGGAGCAGGCGCGCACATGGGTCAGCCTCCTGGGTCAAGAGAGACATCTTGCGGGATGCCACAAAACTCGAGCGCTCCCCGTACCGGCTGCAAAAATGCTGGCAACTTTTAAACTAGCCCCAAACATTCTTGGATACATCCAGGGTGTCATTCGCGAATAATAGAGACCGCAAAATAAAAATCCGCGAATTATCCAGGGATGGGGCTTTTTACTGGATTTGAGAGATGATGTAAGGCACAATTTCTGTTATTTCAGAGAAAATTTCCCGGTACCCGAAAAAATTCTGGGGATGGGGGATTTTTTCCGGGTTTGAGAGAGTGGTCTCGGTCCCAGAAATCTCAGCACCAATTGTTCCAGCTTATGCTGATATCACTGTATATCCTATAACAAGGAGACTAAGCAACTGCACAACTAAAAAATAAATAATTACAGGTGTGGTTTGCCAGGATGTGGAGTAAGATACTTCTGGTGGACAATGTGGTTCTTGAAGGTTAAGGACATCCACCTTCACCTCCTTCTGAGTACTACCAATCACATGAGCACTGCAGGGATTCGCCCTTACTTCAACTGTGCAGTTCACACTCACTAATTG